ACAAAATAAAAATAAAATAAAATAAAGAAAAAAAATATAATACACATATACACACACAAATATATAATGCACATACCATAAGATTTAGCCAAGTTTGAAATTCAGTGAATTTTGGTATATAAACTATTTGTAGTTTTTTTTGTTTCAATAATGGCATTAACAGTTGGGCATGGTGGTGCACACCTGTAATCCCAGCACTTGGGAGCCTGTGACAGGAGGACTAGTTCAAGTTTGAGGCCAGCCTGGGCTACAAAGTGAGTTCAAGGCCAACCTGAACTGTCTCTTGAGACCCTGTCTCAAAAAGACAAAAATAGTAATAATGGTATTAGGTGCCAGGAATGGTGGTGTATGCCTATAATCCCCACACTTGGGAGACTACCACAGGAAGACTAGGTTTGAGCCTAGCCTGGGCCATTTGGTAAGAGCCTGTCTGGCAAAGAGAGGGGAGAGAGGAAGGGAGATGGTATTATACACATTTCTTCTTATATTTTAAGACATATATATATATATATATATATATATATATAATGTATAAATATTTTGTTTTTTGGTTTTGTGCCAGGGTCTTACTGTGTGGTTCATGAAGCCTGTGAATTCACTTTGTAATCCAGGCTATCCTCAAACTTGCAGCAGGCAGTCCTGCCTCAGCTTCCTGAGTGCTGAGATTACATGAATGCATCACCACGCCCAGCAAGACTCCTATAATTTTTTAATGGTTGCATACTGGTGGGTTCTCTAGCTATTATTCCTACGGGTAGTTATTAAAAGCATTTAGCCAATAAAAGGCTTATCTTACAACTGTTACCTATAATTAACATGTGACTGTGTAGAGCCTTACAAGGCTTTTCATTATTGCTGAATATGTCCAGTGTTGAAGCTATACTATCTAGCTGGCTGTGGTGGCATACTCCTATAATCCCAGGACTTGGGAGATTAAGGCAAGAGAATGGGAAGTTCAAGGTCTGCATGGGCCACATAATGAAACTGTCTTAAAAAAAAAAAAATTTTTTTTCTGTGTCCTTTTTAAGAAGTCATATTTGGGCCAGGGATATCGCTCAGTGGCTCAGCTCAGCCTGTCTAACAGTTGCAAGGCCCTGCACCAAAAAAAAAAAAAAAAAAAAAAAAAAGAAGTTATATTTAATAAAATGCATATTTCTCACTGTCTTTCAGATTCCATCAGCAGAGCTTCACAGACAATGGCCAAGTGTGTCAAGGCTGTCACAGAGGGTGCCCAGGCAGTGGAGGAGCCGTCCATATGCTAAGGCAGCTACCAGTCTGACTTTGCTGCAGATAGTAATGGACATGTACAGTGAAGAAATTACTTAGACATTTAATTCTTTAAATAAATATGAAGACAGTAATATTTAAAGTTATACCATGCTTATCTGAAAGTGGTATTTCAGGTATCAAACAGGTTAGCAATTTCAGGTTAATATGTTGTGTGTGTTAACTACACATTTGCTGTTTCATGTAAAAGCATCAGCAATCTTTGACAAATACAAAGAATATCTTTAAACTGAGTTTTTATTTTCGTAGATCATTTATGTTTATAAAATGAACAAAATCCAAGACTTTCCATTAAGTACCCCATTTTTCTAGTGCTCAAAAAAAGTAAACAGGCTTTGGTAAATGGAAAAAAATACGTAAATTTATAATCTGATCTGTATCTTGAACAGTTTTACTCATCATAATAATACCTAATAGTCACTCATTTTTTTCTGTGTGCTAACACTCAGGTTTTACACATTCGTTTCTTTGGCTTTTTCTGCAGTTTAATGAGATAGTAGTAGTATCTCGTTTACAGATGGGAGAAACTAGAGCCCAAGGATATTAAGCCGATTTCCAAAAAGGTACACAGCAAGCCATAAACACAGGCTTAGTTATCTTCCTCCAAGCCACTGCTGACTGCTGTATAAGTTCCTTCCTGCTAAAACATATTTGGAGGCCGGGCATTGTGTTACATATCTGTAATCCCACCACTTCGGAGGCTGAGGCAGGAGCACCCTTGCAATTTTAAGACCAGCCTGGGCTACAAATTGAGCTCAAGGCCAGCCTCAGCCACATAATGAAACCCTGTCTCAAAAAGACAAAAAAAGGGCAGGTTATTACTTCTAAGAGCTAGTATGGAAGAGTTTAATGGTTTATGTGTTCTTCTATTTTCTCTTAAATAGCTCTCTATAATATCTGGTGATTTGTGTGATATTTTTCTTTGTATAATAGATTCTACACATACACACCCTTGAAATGAAGATGGTCTCACGTGATACGATTTGCATCATCATTATTATCTTTTTATGTCCTGGGCCTTAGATGTGCTAAGCAGGTGCTCTGCCACTTAGCAGTACCGCCAAACCTGTTAATGTTCTCTGTATCTGTAGTGGTAAGCCAACTAAATTATTCCAATAATGGAAGAGAAGTTACCAATTTTCATTTGTCAAAACTAAAAAGGGGGCCTGCCCCTTAGCTCAGTTCTTTAAGGGGCTGTTTCAACCAAGCAGTCAGGCTCAGGTTGCTGTGGTTCGATCCCCACAACTCAAGCCAGCCAAACCTGCCCTGAAGGGTTTAAAAAAAAAAAACAAAACTAAAAAGACTTAAAACTTTCAGCTAACATAGGAGATAATCCAAAGGTAGTTGTTTGCTTTTGCAGTATTGGGGAATTAATCTGTACATGTACTAGGCAAGTGATCCACCACTGAGCTATATTTTCAGCCCTTTTTATTTTATTTTTTATCTTAACTTTTATTTTTTACCAGGGGTAGAACTTAGGACTTTGCACTTTCCAGGTAGGTGCTTATGCCACTCAGCTATCCCCCAGGCCCTATTTTTTATCTTGAAAGTCTCACCAAGTTGCCTGCACTCATCTTGAATGTGAGATGCTCCTGCCTCAACTTCTCAGATAGCTGGTGTTACATGTGTACACTATCACATCTGGCAAGTTTTTTAAGTCAGTGTTCAAATCCTTTTGTTTTGTAATCTTTATTCCTTTATGCTTTCATTAAAAATGTAGTTAACCATAGGGTGTCGTTTTCCTTATATAACAAAGGATAAGGTGTTTAGTCAATATCTTTATCTTTAAAAATTTTGTAAGGCCAGGCATGATGGCACATGTCTAGAATCCCAACACACAAGAGGTTGAGGCAAGAGGATCATAGTTTGAGGCCACCCTAAGCTACAGAGTGAATTTTTATACCAGTCTTTTTTTTTTTTCCCCCGGCAGAACCGGGGATTGAACTCAGGCCCTTGCACTTGCCAGGCAAGCACTTATTCTACTGAGCTATCTCCTCAGGCTCCTAGCATAACTTACATAGCAAGACCCTATATCAAAAAGCAAAACAAAACAAATCCATTCTATAGGGTTGGGGATATACCTCTGTGTGGAGGCCTGGGGAAATAGCTCAGGAGAATAAGCACTTGCCTGGCAAGCACAAGGTCATGAGTTCAATCCCTGATACTGGAAAAAAAGAAAAAGAATATACCTCTGTACTTAGCATGTGTGAGGTCCTAGGTTCAATCATTAGCACAGGGGGCCGGGGAGATGGCTCAGTGGAATAAGTGCTTCCCTGGCAAGCGCAAGGGCCTGAGTTCAATCCCCAGTTCCACCAAAAAAAAAAAAAGGTAATCATTAGCACACACGCACAAAAAGAATTATGCAGAACCTCTCAACAGTGTTGGAAAGTTTAGTGATAGGTCATAAAGCTGTATATTTTCCTAAGCTGTATATTTTCCTTAGGGCTGGGGTGTAGCTCAGTGGTAAAGAATGTTTTTTCAGTATGTGTGAGACCCTGGGTTCAGTTCCTGGTACCAAAAGCCAAAACAATAAAAATTTGTTGGGCTGGGAAGATAGCTCAGTGGTCTAAAGCACCTGCTTAGGTAAGCACTGTAGTTCAATCCCCGGCACCACTTGCCCCACCAGCCCCTAAGGTGGGCTGAGTGGGGGAAAAAAAAAAATTATCAAGCAATCACCTTTGTTTGAGACAGGATTTTGCCACATAGTTCAGGCTGACATTAAACTCACTGTATAGCTCAGGTTGGCCTTGAATTCAGTGATGGAGTGCTGGGATTATAGGTGTGTGACAGCAAGCCTGGCACTGATTAGCTTTTTCAGCAATCATTCAGTAATGCAACATGAAGTAGTGTACTGTTTCAAGTACTTTGTTCAAGGCTGGAGGGGAGCTTAGTGGTTAGTATTTATGAGGCCCTAGGTTCAGTTCCTGGTACAAACAGCAAACACAAAAAATAACTTTGTTTAAAATTCCTGGCTGCGGGGACAGGGAGATGGCTCAGTGAAATAAGTGCTTCCCTGGCAAGTGCAAGGTTCTGAGTTCAATCCCTGGCTCTGCCAAAAAAAAAAAAAAAAAATTCCTGGCTGCCTCAAATTCTGTAAATTCTCACCCAAAGTGTTAGGCTTCAATATAAATTTCCTACACCTGTGTCTTCACTGTGCCGCCCTCAAAGGAACACGCCCCAGTTTTGTATCTTACATAGCTATCCTCAGTGAAAAAGTGCAGACTTCATGGGTTGTTTTCTAAGAGGATACTCAGTAGAAAAGGTGATACATAGGTCAGTTGATCCAGACCCTTGGTCTCTCCTCTGGGCACCATAGGTGAATATTTGTAATTCACCAAAAAATACTTTGGTCAATTTTCATCTCTTGGGCAAAAAATTTGACACAATTTAGGTAATTTTTTGGCCGGTTTCAAGAGTTTCCAGTCTGTGACTAGTGACTCCATTGCTTTTAGGCCTATGGCACAGCAGGAACCAATACTTAGTTCACAGCACTAAGGAAACAAAAAACCAGAAAAAAGTACCCTTCTTTCAGTGTAGTTAAATATTCTGCAGTCTCAGCACTCCGGAGGCTGAGGCAGTTCATCGTCATCTGGGCCAAGTAGTTTTAAGTGAGTAAGAAAAGAAACTGTCCATCAAGACGTGCCTGTGGTGACCACTTCCTACTTCAGCCTCTTTAATGAAGTTAGGAAAACTGGCTACCATCCACATGCAGAAGATCCAACCTAGACCCATAGCTATAACCAAAATGGGCCAACAAAGTAAGTGTTAAAACACTGGAAGACAAATAAAACTTGAAGGCCACAGATGGAGGGACAGACTTTCTGAACAGAACCCTGAATTCATAGGAGATAATAGCAAGAATCAACAAGTGAGATCATATCAAATTAGAAAGCTCTGCACAGCAAAAAATTTACAGTGAAGAGAAAACCTACACAATGGGGAAAAATTTTTTCCCAGCTATTTTTCAGAGGACTTTATATCTAGAATATCCAGAAAACAAAAAATTAGACTCCCCCAAATAAAAGACAAAAAAAAAAAAAAGTCAAGGGGCCAGCCAGGTAGCTCTGTGGATTAAAGCGCCTGCCCAGTGGATTAAAGGCAGACGCAGGGACCTGGGTTCAATCCCTGCTGTGCCATGCTAGCCCTGCCCCCAGGGCACACTGAGAAGGGGCTTGAGACTGGGTGGGGTGGTGCACCTGTAACCCCAGTGCTTGGGAGTCTGAAAACAGGAGGATCAGTACAAGTCCAATCTGTGTAATGAGACCCTGTAAGCCCTGTACTAAATACATAATTTTAAAACTGAAATAGGTATGAAATGAATAGGTCAACTGAAATGAATAGATATTTCACAGAAAAGCAACTGTTGATAAATATATGAAGAAATGTTTAACATTGCTGGCTATTAGAGAAATACAAATTAAAACAAAATTGAGATTACATTTTACCTCAGAAATAATGACCATTGATAAGATAAGAAATTATAACAAATGTTGGTGAGGTTGAGGAGAAAAAGGAGCTGTTCTAGCCAGGTGTGGTACATGCATATATTCCCAGACCTCAGGAGGTTGATGCAGGAGGATCACTGAGAGTTCCAAGCCGACCTGGGTTATGTTGTGAGTTCAAGGCTGGTCTGAATTACATGGTGAGGTCCTGTTTCAAAAAAAAAAAAAAAAAAAAAGAAAACAGAGATGAAGGTAGGTAAGGAAAATGGATAAAAGAAGGAATTAAACTGTGTTACATACATGTAGCAACTCCAAAAAAGGAATGTAAATGTTACAAACTGCAAACATGATATGGCTTATGTTCAGAAGTCGCCCCAGGCCACATGCTCTTAGGTGGTGGATGTGTGATGCAGATTAGACCACTGATCAGTATAGCACAGTTCTGGGTGTGGATGGTAGATTTCGTGAAGAGGGAAGGCCTGCCCTGGATAGGGGTGACACCCTCCTTGTAGGTTCATAGCCTGGATGGAATGGAAAGGGAAAGGAAGTCTCACTTCCTGCTGTCTCCAGTGTTGTGAACTTGTGCCCCTGCCACCCCACCCCACCTCAGGACCAGCAACTGTGTACTGAAACCACTCCAAGCTGAGCTGAATAAAACTATCCTCTAGTTTGTGGTTGTCAAAGGTATGTTCTCCCAACAATCAGACAGTAAGACGTGTACTAAAAAAAAGAATAAACAGTTGCTTTAGCAGCAATTAGCATATTTAGTAAATAAAAAATGTTGTTAAACA